CCTATATATGAGAAGGCGAATCCCATGGTCCATTAATTCCTTGAGGATAGGGATGACAGTGTATGTGTTGTATGTCCAATTTTGTAAAAGTGCATCACTGCATCATTCACAATAAAATACTTTCAATTCGTTTGTAACTATTGATAGATTACATATATTTTTTTTTAATCAATCATCAACTACTAGTATGGTACCCGTGCACAGCACGGCGGGCGCAGCACGGCGGGGTTATTTCCTCAAACCTTTTTTTTTTAACTTTATTTTAAATTTTTTTTATAAATTTATAATTTAATTACAATAGAAAGAGGATAGAGAAATACAAAATAAAACAAAAATCATATATTATTAAACACTTCTCTATACACAATTATTGGTTTGATTTTCTTTAAAACCTTCTTCTCCACAAATTAAAATTTTCAGATCCTTTCTGTTAGTAACACGGGAGACAGCGACATATAACTCGCCATGACTAAAAACTGGTTTCTTCAAGAATAAGCCAACATGCGATAATGATTGTCCTTGACTCTTGTTTATAGTCATTGCGTACGAAACCATAATGGGGAAGTGCCTTCTTTGAATTCTCCCAAATCTCTAAAACCTAGCCCCTCATCCCACTTATGCTTAGCTAAACTGCCCCATTTACCCCAGTGTATCTTGTTACCACCCTCTTTATTCCTCACCCCAAAGGCAACTTTGATTTCTTGGTCATCCACCTTTCTAGTGAGGTTGAGATTCATTACTTAAGTGATTGAGGCAGGTATACCTTGCAATACTTCCTCTTCAAATATTGGATTTTCAGAGTGAAAGAGTTGCTTAAAGAAGCCTAAGATTTCCTTCATAGTTTGCTCAAATCTTTGAACTTTTTCCAATTGTCCTTTACCAGGTTTTCAAGAGAAATACCATATCTTATTTGCCTACCACGGGCTTGAAAAAACCTGGTGTTATTGTCTCCTTCTTTGAGCCATCCAAGTCTAGATTTAGTTCTCCAATACAACTCCTCATCTTGATAAGCCTGATGAACTTGATGTTTGCATTGATGTCAGCCCTCCCATTTTTTATTGCCACCCTGTTGACTTAGTAATCTTTGCTGAATAATCTTTGTTGAGTTAGTGGAACTATTGGCCACCCTACCCAGCAAACTTAGTTTGACATTCCTTAGTTTTTTTTCTGAAAACTGAACAAACCTTTGCCATTCACACCAAGACTCCAGACTTTTGCAACACAATCTTCAAAACCCTCACTTTTTGCCCACCTACTATCATAGCAAAACCTTTTTCAGTTTTTTTTTTTCTCCAAATACTTTTCAGGAGCAGAATATTGTGATCAGATGATATCATAGGAACATGGAGAATAGAAGAATTTGAGAATTTAAGGAGCCATTCAAACTTGACAAAGTGAAGGGGTGTCCCACACAAGGACTGTCTATCATACCTAGGTTCTGATCAAAACTTCTAAAGCTTTGGAAGTTGGCTTCACTTCTAACTAAGCCACCCATTTTTATTCTCATTGCTCAGGAAATCATTGAAGTCTCCTCCTAGGAACCACAAATCCCCCCATCTTAATTTATACCTACCCATCAGATCACACTGGTACTATCTCTCTATGGGGTTGACACTAACATAAATAAAGAACTATTCATACATTATTGAATAGAAATACTCGTTCTAACGAGAAGCTATTCGGTCATGACTTTCACTTTTTCAACGAAAAGAATGAAAAACCAAAAGGTCGTCTATCAATAACTGCATGCATTTCACGATGAATGTGAAGAAGTAGTCCATTATCTCGGCAATAATGAGCCAAGCTAGTATTTGCAGTGAATCCTCCATGAACTTTTGCAGCTATATGAGATGCAACCTTTTCAATTTAAATGGCCCACATCTTAACACCCTCTCATCCCCACCTGAAACAATCTTGGAAACTGAAATCATTGCTAAACAACTCCAAAACTGTAATTCTATGAGATTAACCCATCAAAAGACCATCTTTTCTACCAAAGGGGCTGACATAATCCTGGTTGTTTATAAAAGGCAAGTTTCTACAAACAGTATCTACAAAAAATTTTTTTTTTCTTTTTAGTTTCTGAAAGAAAGACAAAATCAGAAAGGTCTTACCCTGCAAATTAAGGTAGTTGATGTACTAGAAAGTCAACTTCTAATTTCTAAGTATATCTAAAAATCATAATACACATAACCACTCATTCCATGTTTTACAATGTGGTTGATATATATATTTGATAAAAGATTCGATGTATTTGATTTATATCCTTTATATGATACCCTTCTTTTGATAGTCTATTTCAAGAGATTGGTCAGTTTTATGATAAGCAACAATCAACAGGACATGACCGACCCTGGCCCAGGGCCCAACTAAAAAAGGGGCACCAAGCAATGTAGCCCACATATATATTATAGATATATTTGGTTCAGCTCTCCTTTTGATGTTGCTCTATGTATTTTCGACTTGGATGTAGACCATTGACTTTTTAGCCATAAAAAAAAATATTATTTACTAAAAAAAATATATATATATACATATATTATAGATATTGAAGAATGCCCAACAATAAGTTTTTATAATCTTACTATTATTATTATTAATTTGATGGCACCTCATATAATTCGGAAAGGTGAATAGGCACGATTCCCAAACAACACTCCTCTGTCAATAATTCTCAAATATTACAAATAATTAATTGAATAATGCTATAAGTACGTAATATTGTACATAGGGTTATACATAACACTCACATTGAATGGGATCCACCAAAAATAAAAAATCAAGTGGACCCACTCCATGTGAGTGTTATGTACACCTCTATGTACATTTATTATGTACTTGTAGTATTTTTTAATTAAATTAAATAAATAAAAAGTATAAAATGACCCAACATTAATGCAACTAGAAAAGTAGTATTTGGCCTTCAAAATATATGTTGATCATGACTTCCATATTTTTCAATTCTCAAATTCAAATAATTAAATTTTATATGTTTTGATTTTCAGTAATTGATTCAATTACTAACAAAAAGTGTTTTTATACTTTTAAAAACTTTTGGGTTTCCCATCAAAAAGGAAAATCAAAATTATGAAAATGAATGGATAAGCCTTTTAATGTAATATAAGTACTAATTTTTTAAGCATAGTGTTTTAAAAAAAAAATAAAAATAAAAATAAAAAATTGTCTATAGTTTTTTTTAAACATTATTTTTTATCTCCTCCAAGCTTCGGCGCCCCGAGGTATTATCTTTTGTAGGTGCAATGAGTTTAATGTTATATAAATATAGTTTTACTATCGAGTTATCGGATGGCTCGACTTATGGAGTCATTCACCCTTATTCACTAATAGTGTATTGATGCGTGAATAATACAATTTGAACAGCTGTCAACACATTAAGTGGTGGATGGCTCCGTAAAAAAATCATCTGATGGCTCCATATAATTTTTGTATATAAATATATATATATATATATTATTTTTGTTAGCTTTAGTTAGTTTGCACTTTTTTATTTAAAATTATATAAATTCAATTATTTTTAAAAAAATTTGTTGGTTGTTGATATCATAATATCATATATTTTCTTAGTAAAAAAAAGGAGGCATTATTTTTTACATTTGGCCCAGGGCCTAATAATGTTTCGGACCGACTCTGCAATAGGGGCTATGTTGCAATTAGCAGCATGATTATGAAGACAATTAGTCAAAAATTAACCTGCAAAAGTTCCATTCGTAAGGAATATTGGTAACATTGGCATGAAGTGCTTTCTGAACATCAGGCCTATTCAAGTATGCTTTCACATAATGATCAGTACATGGGTCAAAATTGGATACCTGCACAATGAAGTTTTATATTAATAATATATATATATATATATATATATGAAGTTTGATATTAATAATAAATATATATATATATGATGATTATAACTTTATGTGCATATATTAATTCAAAATTGGGACTCCAAGATAACACAGTTACAGAATTCTCTCGAAGGAGAGCTTCTTCTCTCAAAGGGGAGTTTTTTCTCTTACTGAAGAGACTTTTCTCTCATAGAAGAGTCTCCATTTCTTCCACTCTAATCACTCAAATCACTCAACATATCATCAGATCTATACTATTCATCATCCTAAAATTGGGTATTTTTGTTTGTTCTTCGATTGAACACGCTCCTACCACCGACTCAGCGGAGGAAGTCGAGCAAAGACTGCGAGCATTCTCCTTTTCCGAGGTTGAGAATGAAATTATTGACATAGGAGACGAGGATGTCAGAGCAAGTAAGGAGGAATGCGAGCTAAGCTTATTCGGGAAAATCATTGGGGATAAACGTGCAAATTTAGTTGGTATACGGAAAGCAATGAATCAAATCTGGAGGTTAAAACACGCAATTGAGGTAAGGGAATTGAGCCAAAATTTCTTTCAATTTATATTTGAAAACAAGGAAGATCTGAGAAGAGTAGCAGGAGGTACCAATTGGATTTTCGAAAATCAATACCTCGTACTTAACCCATGGCGTGAAGGGCTAAAATCTTCTGATCAAAGCTTTAAGGAGATCAATCTATGGGTCCAAGTTCACAACGTGCCATTAAATTGGCTAACATCGGAGGTTGGATTGAAAATCGGCAGAATATTCAAGTCAGTCTCAAATGTCTTGGTTTGTAATCTCGGGCCTCAGGGAGGTAGACTTATTAAGCTCTTAGCCACAGTTGACATAAAAGAACCCTTGCCAAGGTGTGCTTCAATCAGACTGGGATCCCAGCTAATAAAAGTTGCCTTCAAATACGAGAGATTAGTGAATCCATGTTTCTACTGCGGGAAAATTGGGCATATTGAAAGGAATTGCGATCAAAGGATGCAAGACATAAGGATGAAGACTTTAAGGGATGGGCAATTCGGAGACTGGCTAAGGGCATCTGAGGGTCTACAAAGTCAAAATTGGATCAACAATACATCCAATTCCCCTTCAAACATTGGCAAAGAGCAGGAAGCCCCACAGGCTAATACTAATGAGATGAAAGCTGAACAAGGCTTAGTGGTAAAGCACTCCTCTGAACAGGTGGGAAGTTCCAAACTCCCAGAAGGACATAAGAAGGAAAAAGAGTCCAGCTCCTCACATGTGGCTGATACATCTCCTTCAACAAATCAGGGCAAAGATATAGTTATCCATACACAAATTCTTCACCCCCAACCGCAAAAACAAGGTTTTGCTGGACTCCTAATAAGATGGAGATGGATTTCGAGCAAGCAATCATACACTCCACAACTAATCATCAGGAGAAAGATATGGGGCAGATAATCATCACTAACCAGTCACAACCAAAATTGAAAACCTGGAAAAGAACAGGGACAAAAGAGGGCAAAACAGCAAAGAATCCAGAAAAGGCTCAGACTCAGCACACATCTATTAAAAGACAGAGAGATACCAAAGCAACACAGAAGAATCTATCTTCTGAAAACCAGTCCGTTGAGCAACAAAATAAAAAGCAAAAACAGATTACTGAAGAGGAGGTGAGGGCCAGCCTTCAAGAGCCCTCAACAACACCATGAATGTTTTGGTGTGGATCTGTAGAGGTCTGGGTCTACAGTTCCCCAGATCAAGGAGTCCATAAGGATCCACCACCCCTCTTTTATTTTCATTTCAGAAATAAAAAGATCAAGAATTTTCACACAAAGAGTGTGCTACAGACTAGGTTATGAGAATAGACACTTTATTGTCCCTCCCACATGGGCCAGAGGAGGAATGCTTCTTCTATGGGACACAGACGCAGAAATCATACAAATTCAAAGCCAACCATTCTTCATAGCAGTGAACTATAAAGACAAGCAAATAAATTTGTCATGCTGGGCCATTTTTATTTATATGAGTCCCTACAAAATAGAAAGGGAAGCCCAATGGAAAATTCTTCTACATGAAAAAGTAAATGGGGGACAGTGTGGTACATTACCGGCAATTGGAACGACATCTGCAAACCTGAAGATAAAAAGGGAGGCAAAACAAGATCGTGGAATAGCTGCTGGGGTTTTAATAATTTCCTTGCAAACATGGGAGTACAAGAAGTTCCACACAGGGGCCTGCAATTCACCTGGGCTAATAACCGAGACGGTGAAGGTTTTGTAGAGGAGATTTTGGATAGAATGTTTGTATCTATTGATTGGCTCAGCATCTTCCCATCCACACAAGTTATAAATTGGTTTCGAAGTGCCTCGGATCACAGCATGCTTATTATTCAAACTAAAGAAGCAGTTACTCGGCCCAAACGAAGATTCCAATTTGACAAACGGTGGCTAATGAAAGAAGGAATTAGAGAAGTGGTCATGGCAGCATGGGAAGAACATCAAACAGGCACTCCATTGTACATTATCAAAGAAAAAATCAAAAGAACCCGACAAGCCCTCCTCAAATGGAGCAGATACTTCAGAGCAGATCAAACTAACAAAATCAACAAACTCACATTGCAGCTGGAGGAGCTAAGAAAGGCTGGAGGAGACAGGAATTGGGAAACATGGGATAAATTACAAAAAGAACTTGATGAAACCAACCTCTCTGAGGAAATTTATTGGCAACAGAAAGCGAGAACACTTTGGTTCAAGGAATGAGACAAAAACACTCGCTTCTTTCATGCCTACGTAGCCCACAGGAGAAAGATGAATTCAATTGTCAAGCTGATATCAGAAAGAGGCACAACAGTTGAAGACCCTCAAGAAATTGAACAAATTGTGACAAACCACTTCAAACGTTTGTTCACTTCAAATGGCTATACTCAAGGGCACGAGTTCCTGCCTCTAATTCCAAATACTGTTTCAGAGGAAATGAATGATGTCCTCACAGCCCCAGTGGAAGATGAAGATATCAAGAGAGCAGTCTTCTGTATTCACCCAGATAAAGCACCCGGAGAAGATGGCATGACAGGGCTCTTCTTCCAGCATTTTTGGCCCATCATTGGAGAGGACATCTGCTACGTTGTTAAGAGCTTTTTCGCAACAGGCCAACTACTGAGGTATTGGAAACATACTCTAATTACATTAATTCCTAAATGCATTAATCCAACATCTATTAATCAGTACAGGCCTATAAGCCTATGTGCAGTGATTTATAAAATTGTTTTCAAAATTTTAGCACTAAGGCTGAGGCAATGTTTAAGCAATTGTATCTCTGAAAATCAAGCAGCTTTCCTACCTGGTAGGCAACTGCTAGACAATGTGATCCTGGGGCATGAAGTCTTTCATTTTCTAAACAGGCATAGATCAGGAAAAAATTACTTCATGGCTCTCAAGCTAGACATGGTCAAAGCTTTTGACAGTCTAGAATGGAAATCAATTCAGCTCACAATGATTAAAATGGGATTCTCTCATTTGTTTGTTAAATGTATAATGGCATGTATTCAGTTTCCTACATTTTCATTTAATCTAAATGGCAGAGCATGTGGCTATATTACTGCTTCAAGAGGAATCAGGCAGGGGGATCCACTATCCCCCTATCTGTTCATCATTATATCTGAGCTCTTATCTGCAAAAATTGCTGATGAAGCTGACAAAGGAAGCTATAAAGGCATTAAAATTTCCAGAGAGGGCCCTTTACTCACTCACTTACTATTTGCAGATGACACACTTTTGTTCTGTAAAGCAGATGAATATCAAGCTAATAAAATCTTATCAATTCTGCAAGCCTACAAATGCTTCACGGGGCAGCATGTAAACTGGACTAAATCATCTATTTTTTCAGCAAAAATACTCCCATGGAAGTGCAGGACAGATGTTGTCATATACTGGATGGAATTCAAAGGCATACTTCCACTAGATACCTGGGGCTACCATTAGGCATTGGCAAATCCAAAAGAGACTCCTTTGATTATATTTTAACAGTGGCCAAGAAAAGAATCTTAAGCTGGAAGAACAAATATTTATCTACAACAGGTAAAGAAGTGCTCATTAAAGCTGTACTAAATGCTTTACCAATTTTTGCCATGTCTTGTTTTGTTCTTCCAGCAGGACTGTGCAAGGAAATTGCCAGCATATGCAGTAATTTTTGGTGGAGCAAAAATACAGAGCTTCAAAAGGGAATTCACAGGGTCTCATGGGACAAGCTGACTCTCAATAAGAAGCATGGAGGCCTAGGATTCCAAGACATCCAACTTTTTAATATTGCTCTAATAACCAAACAAATATGGAGACTTATGAATCAGCCTAACTCACTGGTATGTAAAGTTCTTAAAGCAGAATATTTTCCAAACTGCTCCATTTTCTATGCTCAGAGCCACCAAAGCGCATCTTGGCTATGGAATAAATGGCTAAAAGTTGTCAAGGAATGTGACAAATGGATGCAAATTGAAATCAGAGATGGCCAGAGTACAAACATATGGGATATGCACTGGATACCAAATAATATTGGAAAACATGTGCAACTCAAGGAAGGCATTGACAGAGGCATAAAATGGGTAAGAGATTTGATGACCCCAGATGGCTATCACTGGGACGAGCACAAAGTGAGAAACACCTTTTCTCCAGAGCTATGTGACTCAATTCTCAACATTACTACCATCAATCCCAGCCAACCTGATAGATGGATATGGAATCTTAATCAGAAAGGTACATTTTCAGTTAAATCCACCTATGCTCATCTCATTACTAAAAAATTCTTTCAATTAAATCAACCGCAAGGGAGCAAGTCCAGTGAATATGAACTCAAAGCCAGAACCAGGACATGGAAACTCAAGGTAATGGGCAAGGTAAAACACTTCATTTGGAAATGCTTCTCTGATGCCTTGCCTGCTAACCTTAATTTAAGAAACAGAGGAATAGATATTGATATAATCTGTGCCACTTGTGGAGAAGCAGAAGAGTCAATTGAGCACATTCTATTTCATTGCAATCAAGCTAAACAGGTATGGAAAATTGCTCCTGTTGACTGGGATGGGCCACAGCTAAATGAAAAATTTAAGACTTGGTGGTAGCAAGTATGTCAGTTTGAAAAAAGATGAAACATCAGAGGCAAGGCTACAATTATCAACATATATCCTCTGGTGGTTATGGAAATGCAGAAATCTTTGGGTGTTTGAAAGGGTTAAAAGGCCTGCCCACTCTATTGTTCATGCTGCTGTTCAAGATTGGATGTCTTACAAAGACTCAAATGGGTGCAGGCCTTAGTTTTTTTCATTTTCTTCTTCTAGTTTGCTTAAGTCTTTGTACTCGTTTTTTTTTTCTTCAGTTTCTCCAGGGGTAAGGGCCTCAGTTGTTGCTTAACTGCCTTCCTCCTGTGTTTTTTAGACTTTGCTTGTGTTAGCTTGTTTCTAGGCCACTTCTAAGTGGTACTCCCATTGTCGGTCCTTATGTTTATGGATGTTTATGTGTATATGAACATTGTAAGACCTTTTATTTATTAATGAGAAATTTCTGTCGTTTGAAAAAAAAAAAAAAGATAACACAGTTACCATTTTACTTACTGCAGAAAATTTGGGCTCATTATCAGAGCAGAGTGGGGCATAAATGTTATAAATATCAATTTTTCCGTCGTAAACTCTATCAGCTTCATCCACGGCTTTATTGCATTTTTGTGATTCATTTGCGTTGGGAGAAAAGTCACAATATGTCAGCACTTGATTTGCGACATCGTCGGAAATCAAAGCATGACTACCGAAATATTGATACATTCCTTTTATGTCCGTCTCATCGTTAATTTCAGCATTCCCAATCTGAAACAAAATTGATCGATTAATTCCCAAGATGATAAATAAAATATTTTTTTTAAATAAAAAAAGAATTTCTTATTATATAATTACCATGATCCCTTTGAGGTTGATGATGGTCTTTTTTGCCATTTTGTTGTAATACAGTATGACGTGAGCCAGTTGTGGCACATAATGTCCTGCATAACTTTCACCAGCAACGTAAAGATCTCGGTCTTTATACTCTGGGAATCTCTCTAACCATTTCATAAGAAATCTAAAATTATCGGTTGCTGCTACAGTGTCGTTGCCACCCTCCAAATCCGCCTTATCTTTTGAGTATGAGAACCCAACGCCGGCCGGAGTTTCCAAAAACAACACATTTGCAACTATGCCAAAAAAGAATACACATACATTAAAAAAAATATGATAGGGAAAAAAGCCATCACCACATAAATGTCGATTATTGAAAGAAGTTAACACGACTTTATATGTACCACGGTTCCATGAGTGTTCGTTTTCATAGAGTGTTTCTCCGTCACTGTGAACTCGAAACGGGCCCAATTCCTCCATTGCTCCATAACCGAGAGAAGAACAACCCGGTCCTGCCAATTACAAAATCTTTTAGAATCAAGTGATTATATATTTTCATCATTCATCCATCGCCTTGTAAGTTATTTACGTTTTTGGTTACTTATGAATGTTGATAAAATAATCATCTAAAGCAACATAAGTTTTTCTTAAAAAACACACCTACCTCCATTAAGCCAAAGAAGAAGAGGCAACTTGTTGGCTTGATATTGGTTAGCCTCTACGAAATAATAATAAAGAGCTCGACCGGCCTTTTCATTGACGGTAACATATCCGCCATAATGCTTGAATGGAACCGGCGGCTGCCCGGGCAATTTTGTGATTAGGTCCTTTTCCTTTGGCGATAGTGACGAGTTAGCTACCGGTTTCGAAAAATCGTGTAAAAG